TTTAAAAATTTTGTTGTTTGAATATAAAGCTTGTATAAAATTAATATAAAATTGTTATAATAATCTTTTATTTTATTTTATTTTTATTTTTTATTTTTTTTATTTTTTTTATTTTTTTTTATTTTATTTTGTGATTTTCCAACTTTAAAATTGATTTATTAAACAAAATGGTATGAAAAAGAACAAAATTGTGTTGTTCTGTTTGAGTTTGTTGGATTTGTTTATTTTTGGTGCCGGGGGGGTGCGATATTTCGCGCCATACCGGTGATATAACAGTCGATTATAAGATACTAACAATACATATGAAATTGTTAAATAGCGCCTAGTCTTTAAACTAAGCCGTTGACATTTTATATCCAAAGTAATATGAAAATTGAGAATCACTTGCTCGCTGGGAATTCGATTTCGAAGCTTCTTGGGTGACACTCTGGCCGATCTGGGTACAAGGCAAAGCCGGTGACACGATATTTGCGCACGCTGTTCCCATTCTCGCTTGATTTGAATATCCAGTTTAAAAAAAAAAAAAAAAAAAAAAAAAAGTAAAGAGTGAGAGATAGAATAAAGAAAATAAGCCCGAACGAATCGAATCCAAACTAATTAGCTAAAGAGTGTTTATATTCACTGTATTGGAGTATGAGTATCCGAAGGCGTCGGAGTCTGCAAAGCAGAACGTTCAAGCATCATCGAAACCCCATCAACCTCTTCATGATGACCAACCGACCTCAAATACTCCGGATCCCCCACAACAGCCTTAAACGAATCATTACAATTCGCCAATTTCAATACCATGCATATATTCTCCCATTTATCGTCCTTCTTAGCCGTATCCGCCCCAAGGATGCAATATTTACACCCAGTGCCCTCCAAAGATGGTGAGGCATTGATCTTTTCGATAGTATTTTCGATGAATACTAGAGCCGCGGTGGGATAGAGGGCGAGTTGGAATCGTGAATCTTTTCGATCATGCTCGTTTGTGCCTAGGGTGGGCATGGAAGGAGGCTCTGCGCAGTCGAAAGTGGAGATATTTGCGAGCATCCATTCGTCGCGTTCCTTTCGGATGACAAGGAATTTATAAGGGAATGGGAGTTGTCTTTCCATGTTTTTTCTTATTTTTATTTGAGGGACTCTTCGTGAATGGTATAGTATGCGATAGAATATGTATTCTGTACAAGACGCATTCAATATTAGTATGACACTATGCTTCACAAAGATAGTTGAGAGTACCGGTCTACCTAATTACTTTCGTAGGTTGAGCTTTGTTTTAAGGTCGTAACCAAATTCGAGAGATGTCGCTACAAGAGTAGTGAATTCTTTAGAGTTTACTTTCCCCCCTCAAGATATATATTATATCTAAATCTTGGAACCAGGACTCCCTTTTATATAATGTTCAAGAACATTCAGGTGACATATAAGAAGCCAACATATCTCCAGAAACAACTAGACCACTCCAGACCCTAAATCCAACTGAATGCGTATGGATTTTGCTAGACGGCATAAGCCGTAGGAACAAAGGACGGCAAAGTGCGTATACCAACTCACTATGCTGCATACGACCATGATTGCCATTTAGTGGTTTGTAGAAATATGAACACCCTGTTTTTTTTGTGCATGAAAAGCAGGTTTTTCTTTACTACTAGTTAAGCACGTTTTAGCTCTTTTTTTTGTTTGCCTGGTTTTGATCTAATTTATCAATAATGATTATGTATATGTACACAAATGCTACGCTGCGGCAACCGGCAGCTAGTTGAAAGAAGATTCTATACCATTGAAAGAATAAGTTCTTTGACCTAAGCATTTAGTCTGAGGCCTAAGCTAAGCATCCGATCTCTGGCGGCCTGAGACATTATTCCTGCAGGCCACCGGCTGGGTTTCGTCGTTGTTACACAAACCTCCTTTCAGGCTTCATGAACAGTGCTCGCTAGAAAAAAAAACCCACAGCCGTGCCAACCAGTTCTTCGTAAACCAACCAGTTCTTTCGTAAAGATCCAATGTATCTGTAACTACTGAGTAGTAGAACCCGTATAACTCGGTGGCTCATCCCTCTCTCGCGAATAATCCCGAAAATCCCGTTCAATATTCATCAATTTCAAAATAACCCCACGATGATGTCCATGAGGGTCTGTATCATATCTAACCGCCGCAGAGGGACAATATTTGCACCCAGTACCCTCTAACAGCGGACTATTATTGACTTGTTCGATCACTCGTTCTAAGAACCTTAATGCCGCCGAAGAGTAATTTGCCAGTTGGAACAGCAAGAGCGGATGGTTCTCTGGTGTTGGATCTTCGTTGGTATCGAAGATTGAGACTGTGGCATCTTTCCAGTCGTCGCGTTGGAGGTCGTTTTTGAGGATTATGAGCTTGTAGAGGGATGGAGATTGGTTGGCCATTTCTGATGAATTCGGGGTGGTGATGATGCTGGTGGTAGTGGCAGTGCCGGTGGTGCTGGTTGAGTCTAAATCCGGGGAAGCGTGTGATTGGACTGTGATTCTATCTGGAGCTGCTGATGGCTGTATTTCATATGATTATGTATCTAGTTGTAAGTATCGTAGCCTTGAATTAACCCCTCGTTCAATCGAATAAAAACTTACGGATTCTTGCCGAGTGGTCAAGAAGTTCATAACTAGCGTGATCTTGGCTTTGAGACTCAGAGACTCAATGCAAAGGTGCTACGATATGTGAATTATATTTCATGTTCGGCGGGTTCTATCGGGCTTAAGCGCTTTATATACCAAAAAGGGGACCGCCAAAAGTGCACACCAAATGTCAGCGCCAGAATAGCATTGAATGGATAATTACTACTTAAGGTAAGTTAGTAAGTTGATTATAACGTTAAGCTAGGCTAAAATAAGTTATCTTTCGCTAGAAGTTCAGTTTTTACTGATACTGGAAGCCATGGTGTCAATTCTGAAAGAAAGGAATAAGTTAGGAATAAGAATCCCGTAGATTCCTCAAACCACTAAATTAACTTAATAGAAGCAATACATACTAGAGATCAATCCAATAACATAAATTCCAAACACAGACAAATAGCCCAAGATCAATCAAACCAGACAAGGTAGTTAATGCTCGTATCAACGAGGATGGCTCGGATGGCTCAGATCTTGGGCGGGGCTTGGTTCGACCTATTTGGGAACGCCGACAGATTGCAACACAAAAGCTGGCTTAGATGGACGTTAGTTGAACGAGAGCTCCGGTTGATGGCTATGGCCATGCATAGCACAGCGGTATTTATGGGGGGCTGGAGATGCATATATAAGTATACCCAGACAGAAACCTGACTTGCGGAGGCAAATCAGAATCGATAAATTAACATGTATAAGACTTTTTTTCTTTCTTTCCATTGTCTACATGACCATTTTTACTCCACCGATTGTTTAAGTTACAATACAGAGCCGCCGCTATGTATCATGATCAATCATGGCGCTGCACCGCCCCGAGAACCCCTCTTCATCCAATTAAAACAAAAAAAAAAATAAAAAAAAAATAAAGTCTAGAAAATTATTTGCGTAAGAAAAGGGAAGAGAAGAAAAAAAGAGGAATTAGAAATGCAAGAATCGATTAACTACTAATTTAATAATGATAGGCAAGTGTGGTAAACGGCCCAGCCGTCGCCGAAAACTCTGCAATAAGATCCTCGATCTCATCATCCAAAGCAACCCCCACAACATCCCTCACAGCCGCATTACAATTCGCCAACTTTAGTACCAAACAGAATCGATTCAAATCTACCCTCCCGTCGAATAATCTTCCCGGATCTAAGCTCACGGGGAAGTATTTACACCCCGTCCCCGTTAACTCTTCGCTTAGATTTACGTTCCATATCTGTCGTTTCAGAAATTGTAGGGCTGCAGGCCCATATTCGATAAGATGGAAGAGAGGTCGGCTGTCTGAGTTACTCGGTGATGGGTTTTCGGCACAGTCGAAGATGGAGGTGTGGACTCCGCTTTCGGGCCATTCTGGGTCGAAGTCTTCGTTTTTGATGACTAGGTATTTGTAGCGGGATGGTGTCCCTTGGGCCATCTCCTGGGGTCTTTGGTAGTGACGGTGGGCCATGAATTTGCAATTTGAAAGAATATAATATATAAATCTCAAGGATTTTTGAAGAAACTTCACAAGCAGCTACTACAAGAAGTCAGCAATTCTGGTGGCATTTGGATCGATATTCTGTAATTCCAGAATGCAGTACTAACCGGTGAAGATGTAGCCCTTTTAATATCAGATATGTATATATCTATATCTAGGAATAGCTTCTGAGATGATCGATATATCCGAAGTTGATATTGGCTTTTTCAGAATTTTCTCGAACCCGAAAAAACTGCAAATAACATATTTTCGCCAAAAAAAAAAAAAAAAAAGTGAAAGACACAGGAGCAAAAGAAGAATAAGAATAAGAAAGATGAATGATCTTCTATACGATGAAATCCTTCTCAAAGTTAAGTTTTGCAGCTATAATTGGAAAAATCTTAAAGGGTTTGAAGAAACAAAAAAAAAAGAACCTAAAGATAGAGGAAAACACTGATGTTTTTATATCTGCCGGCATACCTACATCGAGCTCACGATATATATATATATGAGACCCATAGGGCTGTAACTATCTCGGGTACATCTCCAACCGAGTATACTTTAGCTGACTTACCAATCAACCGTCATAATATACCTATATGATCATGAAACCTAATACTCGCATATGCACTTACCTAAAACCCAGCCCACCAAAGAAAAACCCATGCGGCTTGCTGCACGCGATAATGCTTAGACCCCTCTCTACCCTTGAATTCACAGAATGTTTAGACCACAATGATTCAGATGGTAACCAATGATCAATCTGCGATCCATACTCTTGTCATCCCGTGTTTTTACAAATAAAATGTATACAATCCGTAACCAAGCACTTATGTCCCTCGGTATACGGTAAATTAGCAGCAGCAATAAAAAAGAATGTGGATAAAAACTAAGGGGCAGTGAAAAACAAAAAGTCTGCCCTTTCAATTTATCTAAATATAAATATCCACATACTCTCTCTCTGAGCTTGCAGCGAAACAGATGGGTATGGGGATGGGGTAAAATACTGCGCCCACGTGATCAAGTCCTACCGAGGGGGGAAACAGCTATATGCTAAGCCTCAAAGCGGCAGGATGGGGCCCTTTTTTTGTGCGCCCCTAGATGTTTCACAGCCAGGAATTCTTTCGATTCTAAGGTACTTACACCTTTCTTTTCTTTTTGATATTCCCCACTGTGGATTCGATGAAAAGGTATCAAGACACTGGAAGTTTATGCGGATTGTTCCGAATTCCGAGGATGGTGGCTTTGGTGGTCTAGGGTATGCTGCTTAAGTGTACTATATACTATATACTATATCGGAATGGTGTATATATTATGTCTATAACTATAGATAGGTAGGTAGCTATAGTTATGAGAACGAGCCGGTTTAGACGGCTATGGAATGTCTCTTATAATAGCTTAGCCACCACGAAATGTAGAAGAGAGGCACATGCTGGCTATATATCTTATTCTACGGGGTTTAAATCTTGGAAGAACAAAAAAATACGGATAAGCGGATAGTTAATTAAGAATTCGAAGAAACTAATATTCAAAGAACACGAGACTATGATATCGATCTGTTGAATCCTTTCGTCGATTAGTCAGGTCAATCTTAATATTTAGTCCTGTACTTAGAATCCGGGAATTCGGAACGAGACTGCTGACAACTGTGAACCAGTAATTTCCCCTTCCTTAAATTTGCTACGCTCGTGTTTATTCCCTTCGATGAACGTCATAAACAAAATTCTAGCCCTCAAGGTTAGTCAGCTAAAATTGACATTCAAGTTCTGCATATCTGTGTATACATCTCTAGCCGATTTGAAATAACCCAATTCTGGCATAGCCCCTCGCTCCCTTCCTTGGTACCTCTCTTCAGCGGTTGGATATTATCCCTTGGAAATTTAAAAAAAAAAAAAAGGAGAAAGACAGTGAGAGAGAGAGATAAGGAAATAAAGAAACCTAAGAACTCTCCCTGTCCGAAAATATGTCTCCTGCACTGCGCAGCCCACGGCGCCTACTCAAGGCAAACTTGGGTAACCACTTACCTAGGGAGTATGCATATGTCCCCAAAACCCCCTTTGTGTTGACACCACACATATCCAACAAACCCGCATTTCCCAAACTTCACCCACCAAAACAGTTACCAACCAAACATCCCACCACAGCAGCTTCCCTCTCTCTCCCCCCCCCACCATCCCCACCCACATCACCGCCAAAATGAATCGTCGAATGGTACCTTCCCACCCGGCTTCACTCTTCTCTCTACATACAGACAACATTCACTAACTGTTCTCCCTTATCAGCTCTCCCGCGAAGACGAAATCTCCGCAGAAACACCAGTCACCCTCTCCGACCAAAAAGCCATAAACACCTTCTCAACCCTCCACTCCCGTCATATCCTCCTAACCACCACCTTATCCGAAAAGGCCACAGAGAAGGAATACCTCACCGACGTCTCCTCCGAACTTGAATTGTCCGATGACGACGATCTAGTACCTTACAAAATCGGTGATGCCTTTGTTTCGTTAAGAGTCGAGGAGGTTAGAGAGTTGTTGGAAGGCGAGATTAAGGTTATCGATGACGAGATCGAGGAGTTGGAGGGGAAGGTTAGAGATGATAAGGAGAAGATGGATGAGTTAAAGGTGGTGCTGTATGCGAAGTTTGGGAAGAGTATAAATCTGGAGGCGTGATTTTTTTTGGTCCCGTCTTCGACTCAGCCCCGGGCGACTAAGCTATGGCTGGTATACTTGAATGTGGTATTGTGGATTGGGAGGGGGAAACTTGGGCAGGCCTAAGGGTTTATAGAAGGATGGAGATATCGGCGGGTAGCAAGTAAGCAAGCCTCGTATACGACTTCTTAATACCAAAATACTCCCATTTTCACAGACGAATGAAAAGGTTAGGAAGATCAAAAAGTGGAGTATATAGCATCAGACAGGGCTTAACTATGGTAAAGTTAGAACTCTGGAATCTCAGTTATAGAATCTGGGGGGGTATATATAGCTCCCCATCCGGTCTAGCAATATTAATATTAACGAATTACGATTTTCAATCACAATATCCAGTAAAGCATGGATTTGCTTTGGGTAGAGTCTTTGTAGCCTAGATTGACTGCAAGACGGGGTCAAAGGAGACGATGCACTATGGCCCGCCCCAATCTTCGAGATAATCAATCATCTCATCATGTTTAAGGACGAAAACCCGATGAACTATGCCAAAGATTTCACGATGCGTGCAGCGGTGAGAGCTTACTTCAAGGGCATCCAGGCGAATAGAAAAAACAGTGGCAGAACAATCAAGTTAACTCCTACTCTTTATCATCCTACAACTCCTTCTTCACAAAATGCTCCTAAAAAGACACAAATACCGGTAGTTAGCACATATCCTTCCCAATACCACCAAACCATCATTACATACCGGCGAATGAGTCGTCTCGTAATCAATATGTACGTAAGCACGCTCAACATCAGGCAAACTCTCAAGCTTCATCTGCAACTCTTCAGCGATATCATGTGAATGTTTGAGCGTGCAGTCGGGATCCATAACCACGTCAACTTCAATAATGAGTCGTGGGCCGCTGTGGTACGCTCTAACAGTGTCCAATTGCAAGATTTCAGGGGAATGGGTCATCGCTGAATAAACTGTTAGCCACAAAATGCTCATATATATGTTTGGAGACGATGGCCATACAGATGTATGTAATCAGTTGTTGAGTATCCAGGTCAGCAGCTGTACCAACAAGGAGCATGAATTCTTCCCAGGCAGTCTTGAGCCAAAGACCTAGAATGAGAAGCGAAATGACGATGGCACCCATAGGATCGATCCACCACTTCAACTTGGAACCTCCAACGGAAGTCAAGATACCGAATCCGTTGACGAAAAGGTCATTTCGGTGATCACGCCAAAGGACATGAACCTAGATATTATCAGCACCACAGTTTTAAAACCCCTCCAATGCAAACACGACTTCTGAGCCAACCTACATCACTGTAAATATCCTTCAACGCCCAGCAGTAAAGAAACAATGAAAACTTTGTCGCAAAGGCAGCACAGACGGAAATCACAGACTCAAGGTAGAAACCCTTGGTCTCTGCGTCAGCACCGGAAGCGATATCTCTGGCAGAAACGACGATAAGAATGAGAGAGACAGCGGACATGACGAAGGCAAAGGTGATATTTCCGGCAGTTTCGAGACGGGCCTTTCCGGATGGGAATTTCTTTTCATCGACCTTTTTGATCGCTCGACGAGATGTCATTAGGATAATATTCGACATTGGGTCGAAGATCGAATCGGCCATGGCTGTCATATAAAAATTAGCCTCAGGTTTCAACATCGTTAGTCGCAGAGAATCAAGTCACATACTTGCGAACAAGGACAGAGACCCGGATCTGACAGCAGCGAAGACTTGAAGTATCGACAAGCAAATATTGGCAACCTACACACCCCCATCATCACCAATATTGTAAGCCACTCATTCATCACCCTAATTAAAAAACTAAAATAAGACAGAATTGAAAAGAATAGAATAAAAAATAAAACCAGAAGAGTCCATTTCTTACAAAACTACCCCATATCGCAATCTTATACTTCAAAGCAGTATCCTCAACCGTTTCCTTCGCCTCACTCCTATGTTCCTCAATACTCTTCAACAACTTTTTAATCTTCTCATTTTGATTTTCATAGAACTCTTTCAGTTCCTTCCCACTTGGACTCTTGGCATGGGGGTTCTTTCGCTTTTTGCCAGTATTGGAAATATTGGCCTTGATGAGATTTATCTCGGACGGCGACTTGAGACCACGGGAGAGAGAGTATGGATCACTAGATGACGTCTGTTCACGGGTAAGTGTGCCTTCGTCGGCATCGATCATGGACGAAGCAATGTTCCTATGTGTTGTGGTGTCGCCCGAAATCGACGCGATCTCGATACTGGTGGAGGCGTTTAGATTTCCGGCCATGGTTTAGAGGATATCTCGGGTATATTCCCCCCGGAAAGAATGAGCGTAGAGTATATGAAGGATAATGATAATGATGATGATGATGAATGGGGATAAGAAGAATAAGAAGAAGAAGAAGAAGAATGGAAGAGGAGAAAAGAGGACTCCAAGATGATATAATCGACAAAAAAAACCAAAAAAGGTCCCTGAAGCACCTTAGGTATTTAATCCGCCCCGAAACCTAAGAGAAAAGCGTTCCCAAACTTTTATATGCAACATTCGGCCGCTTTAAGGTTTCCTTGATAGCCAATAACCCCGAGTCATGCCGATTTCCCGGATCGCATCTAATCAATCTTGCCAAGCACCTGCAAGTGAAGCTTTAACTCGGCTCTTTTTTTTCTTTCCCCTGCTGCTGCTGCTGCTGCTGCTGCTGCGCCCCGTCGGACGTCATGAAGGCGAGATCTGACGGGGGGTTTGCATGCTGCTTGCTTGCTTCCTTTGTGGGGAGCTTTCTGATTTGACAGTGTTTGTGGAGCTTCAGTTGCAAGCTTTGAGAAGGTCTGCAATGATACCCGAGATAAAAAGCCATTTACAACCTTCCATTTGGGATAGAACAGAGATAATCTGATTGTATGATTGAATTTTTCTCTCTCCCTCTCTTTCTCTTCCCAAGGAGAAAAAGGGGGGCTGTGTAGCTTGGTATGCTGACATATCTCTGATTGAGCACTAGCTGACCGGGTTCATGAAGCTAGTCAATTATCTTCATGCAGGCACGAGATTCTATAGAGTAGATTGTGAAGCCTTCAATTGAATGAATATAAAATCGAATTTGGATATCGTATCTAGCATGGTTCCGTAAACTAAGGCTATCAATACAGGCTTTCGCAAGCCCGTCCAGAACCCCAAAAGGCCATCAAAAGAAACAAGTAAAAATGGTTCGTTGTACAATTGAGGGGAGAAAGCTTGAAAAAAGAGAAGAATGAGAAGAAGAAGAAAAATTGACCTGGTCTTGCTCAGACCTAGCAAGAAGCTCCAGTTACAAAGGCATGCTTATGAAGAAGAAAAAAGAATTGAAAAGGGAAATAATTGAAAACCGTACTCCTTCATTTGACATAGATTCCCTCGTAACTACCTCCGCCGCTCGAATAAAAAGATCGTGAAAGTGCGTGTGCGTGCAACCAACATCATTGACATCGATAAGAATAACGATCATTACAATTGCACTATAATTTTTCACCCCAGAAAACATGAGCCACTCAAGGAAATAAACGGGGAAAGAAATTTGAAGAGAGAAGAGGAATAAAGAGGAGAACAAAAAGTTGGTGTCGAGAAGATATTGAAGAGGAAAGGGTGAAGGGTATATATGGTGATGGGAGTAGTAGGACATGAAACCCGGGCCAAAAGGAAGAAACCAAGGCAAAAAAAGCATTTCGCTGACATCTAAATTGCGCTGTACCCACCTCTACCCCCGCTTCCTTGAAAGGTATTCACCGCCCTTCTCAAGAAGTCTTTAATGAGATACGGAAGATCTCGCAAAGTATCGCTGTGAGGTAGAAGATCCCATCTGTAGAAAATATTCGTACAAAAAAGGAAATATCTATATGTTAGTAAGTTCTTCATCATGGTTCAACATACTCTTGATATACGACGACGATGACTTGTCGGGTGACGACTGCTCTCTCCTTCAGACGGGTAGCTGGACGTACCCTCTAGCATCATATTTATTGTAGTTGAGCCACGATCCAAAGATTAGATACGCAGCGACAACCAAAAAGACACTATTATCCATTTATGTTAGTACCAGTTACCAAAAACCCACTATACTGACTGCCATATTCCCGACTCACATAACAATAAACCAGGTGAAGAATCCCCAACTGCCTTGACTCGGAGCTGGTGCCTCGCCGAGAGGCTTCTCACAGGCGTACTTCGTCCTCCATTCCAAGGTCACAGTCTGATCGCCTTCATAAGCGACAAATTTCAAGGCATTGGTGCCCTTTCCGTCCTTATCCGGCTCTTCAAGGCCAGTCATTTCCTGGTCGCACAGAAATTTGACGATGGCATTTTGTTTCAACTTCTTCTCTCCATATTCGGGACCGTGGAATGTGACGTTCAGGCCTAGAACCTTCTTTTCTTCATCCCTCATGATTGTGTACTCCGGTTCCGAGTCCTTCGGACTCTCGACATTGCCGAAAGAAATGATCTGAGCGGCATGTTCGTCGGGTTTGTCGCCGTACCATAGACGGGAGATCATGCAGACTTGGGTCCCATCAGGGCATCGGTCTTCCTTCTCATCTTTGCTCAACTCAATTTTACCCTTTAAAATGGCAAAAAAAACGAAACGTTAGCGGGTTGTTAATCAAATATACTTGGGTCCAATAACATAAAACCAAATAAAAGGCTTTAATACTTACAGCCGGATTTATTGTGTAAGTCGACTTGAGTACCTAATTCCGGGGAAAACCGGTTTGTTAGCCCTTGTCCTGTGTCGCATATAATAGCTTGCCAGTGATTCTGCATATTTATCCGCAAAAATGGCCAGTTTGTGGTGTGAAGAGGGAGAAGAAACCTACAGAGGGGTCCTGCTTATGCTCCACCACTACTGAATGTGTTTTTAGCTGGGTGAAGTCGAATTTGACGCCATCGGCTTCGGCTTCACCAGTAAAGGCAGCTAATGTGGAGATGGGAAGTAGCAGGAGGGTCGACAAAAGCGACAGTGACAGTGACGTAGTTGGTCGCATGTTTGCTCTGCCGGATCCGGTCGGTGATGAAGGAGTTGGAGATAGACGTTGATGAAGGGAGGGAGGGACAGACGAAGATGGAGGATGGAAGGTCGGAAGGGTCGAAGGGGATCAAGGAGGAAGAAGAGAGGAACTGGAATGATAATAATAAGAATAATAGGAGACGAGACCTTCCGATGATGACAAATGAGGCTCTCTCTTTCTGTCTCTCTCTCTCTCTCTCTCTCGCTCTCTCTCTTTGATTCCTCTCAGTGTTCCCACTCTCAGAACGATCTCTCTTTGGCTAATTTGTTCGGAATCGCGTTCTTCCGGAGATTTGATGTCTCCAGGGGGGGAAAACCTGTCAAGTTAACAGCACAAAACGATTCGAAGACGATGTCAGTAATCTCGGGGCTTCATGAAAGAGAATACCTATACCGGGAGAAGAGGAGCTATAGCTGGTATTTAATGTAATGTTAGTTGTTAGCTTCTCGAAGGGTTCGTCTGGATCCGGTGTCGACCGAGAGGGCTGTTGGTGCCGATATGTCTTCGATGTTTCAAGCTGTTCTGCTGCGAAGCGTGTCTTCTAAGCAGGTCCACACTGCCCACGCTGCCCACACCGGCTGACTAACAGAAACCGTCGTCAGCAACGCATTTGCGTTTAATTACATTCCACTCACCACTCGATTGCAATATCAATTAGACAGCTAACTAGTATACACACCAAAGAACAGTTATTATGGTACGTATGGCGGGGCAAGGCAAGGCACGATGATGATGATGGTCTGCGGCGGGTCGTAGTACGTAATACATTTGCCGAATGCTCAGCGTCAGCACCTGAGTACATAGTACATACAACAATAATATGGTGGCGGTCATGCCATGGCACAAAGCAGCGTTTGGCCTCGACAATCTAAAACATCGTCACCTGCCTTGCCCTCGCCGTGACGTTATAACGTTATTTTTCTTTCAAACACTCTCGGTAGGATATTTTTTATTCTATCTGGATTTATTTTATTTTATTTTATTTTTATTATCATTTTTATTTTCTATTTTAATTTTATTTTGCAGCCCAAGGTCGATATCGTCACTGAAAATATCCACCAGAGTACGTACTAACATACCAGCCGACATGGGTCATTATCGATGCAACCACGGATAGATTAAATTTAATATATCGATTCATGCAAAAGCCAGAAGTTATTAAACGGTTGAAGTCCAAGTATACCAAGAACTTCTAGGTAAATTCTTGTTAAAAACACCAAGATTCGTCATTTGTTCATCTTTTTTCTTTTTAATTTTCCTCGGTCTGGATACCTTATCTCCCTAACATATATGCACATACGTACTACTTTCCAAGCTTGCAAGGCTAAACTGGCTTGCTTGTACACGTATCTGTACCTGCTTAAGTAGTATGTATTACTAAATAGGTTTCTAGGTATCAGTATAAATACGACGGGCTGTCCGTTTCAATTTAAACTTCTCTCACTTTCGGGCCCGACTAATTATACTACAACTCTAAACCGCCTCAAAAATTCATAATCCTCCATATTCTCATCTGCCGTCCTATCAATAACCGCCGCGGCTTCTTCACCATACTTCTCTAACCATTCCTGCATTTCTTCTTCTGTGGTCCTGAATTTCTTCTGTTTAAAAGAAAGGTGGAAAAAATAGATGGTTAGCAAGGGTACATCCCATGTTGGGTTACGTATGTATATAGATACGAATAATTAATCAATCGAATACATACTTTTGTTCTTGGCCTCAATCCCGAGCTCCCAATAGCATCCTCATGAAACCCTTTCCATTTATCAAAATTTTCACATCCTTCATGAGCACCCCATTCCAACATCTTTTCATCAAACTCCAACCCGGTCATTTCGCAAAACTTCTCTATAATCCCCTTGGGGTTGTCTAGTAAATCATCTGCATCGATCACGCAGACGTTGTTATAGACCGAATGTTCTCCATTTGTTTCTCCGTTCGCCGCCTGCGAGGAAGGGTGTTTGATCACCCTTTCTTTGAGTAAATACTCGAATAGGACTCTTAATTCTCTGTATCCGGCTTCGTTCGGCATGAAGTATTTAAACCCGGTCATCTCGTTCAGCGGTGGGATGCAGCATCGATAGTATGATGGGACGGCTTTTCGAGGATTTCGAATCAAAAATGCGAATTGAAACCTTTTTAGGATGGAGAGTGGTAGAACAGTCGGGTTCTTGGCGGGTGTCGATACACCGTTTCCATTGTATGTGGCCGAGGGAGTGACGGATGGAGCTAAAATTGCTTTATCGAAAGTTGGATGGTCCGAAGGTGGAACGAGGTAGCATGCCATGTCTTTGATGAATACTCGTTTCTCCTATAACTTGCGAATAACATAACAATTGATATCAGATCTTCAATAGGCCGCAGGAAGCATTAAAGGGGCCAGTGGCTGACTAGGTAGCTTCTGGTACGGTCTTATATAGTCGAATATCGTACCTCTTTCCCGCTTCTTTCAATCTCTTCTAAAACAGAGTTGTAGGTAGCTTCATGGAAACCGCTGTTCTCTCTGTCGTCAATGGCATCGTTATGGTCGCCTTCATATCGAGAGGATAGTCGTTCGGGCCCTACAGTTCGTTAGCGCTCTGTTTCCAGATTAAGCTATAAGAAAATCGACACCATCACCAACCATAATAGAATGCGTCGCCAAATGGCTCATGAAGGCAACATAATTCCTTCTCCCTGGTCATAAACACCCTTTCGAAAGCTGTACTGCAGCTTCGAGGATGTGTAGCCACAAATATCGGACGTTCTTCGGATGGCACCATTGTTATTCCGGACAATATGCCAATTCTGAATTATCAAATTTAAAGAAGGAAATTAAGTTAAATAAATAGAAAAACGAACGAACTGGTATGGAAACCCCAAAAGAGCTAATAAATAGAAAGAAGATTCAAGAAATACCAAAGCTCAACGATATACGAAGCGACGAACCCTAAATCTGTTGCAGGCTAGGGTAGCTATGGCAAAAACCTTACTTCCTCGATCAAAATCCCAGTGGGGTCCACCTCACTATTTAACCCCTTAGCTTAGTTCTACAGACCAAATTCTAAAATATAAAATTTTATTAAGTCTCCCTTAAAGACTCCGAATTCCTGGCGACAGCTGTCAAAATAACTTTCGAACGGATATACGGATCCTGGCAAGACATACTCCATTGCATTGTTACCGAGCTCACCGTCTCCAAGAGATCGGCGCATCTAACTTAGTTTCAATAAAACGCTCCCAAGCCGCCCCAAGTCGGTCGATGCCGACTTGTCATAACATAATAGCAACCACTCTAGTAGCTTCCTTAGTCTACTAGCTCTAGCTACAAGTTACAGGATCAGGTAAAGGACCAGTTAAAGATTGAGTATGATTACAACCCCTGCAGAAACTCGCTTAGCGGCCGTTGGTGTGTGGAGCCTATGATGTCGTTGAAGAGTTTTAGTAGAACTCTTTTGTCTTTCCCTCTCTTATGGGCGGGTACAGAGAAGACGCTTGAGGCGGAGACTTTTTTTAGAACTAGGGAGGGTTTTAGGTAATAATGGTTCTTAAGGAACGGATTCAGGATTCATTACTTCATTCCGTCAAAAAAGATGTTGGTTTTTTTTTTAAGAGGCTAATAAGCTTCGTCGGTTGTTACCGTGTGAGGGCGGGCAGCGGCTAGCCGGGAGGGCAAAAGTGCGTTGTTGAGTTAAAATACAACACCAGTCGATGCCAGGCCTAACCAGCTGTGCCAGGCCAGAGCCGATGCACAGTCCTTCCAGCCGAACATCGAATTTAAACTATCAATTCCGGGGTGTCGGTGTCAATTCCACGAGACTAGCACACTAGAAGGGATAGTAAAGTTTTAATATCCATGAAGGACTGCTCTAGACGTAAGTCGAACGATTATCTGAATTCCTCTAGGGAATAAACCGAAATCATGATAGCATGCGTAGTCAGCTATATAACAGTTTTGCTAAACCATTCCGACCTGGAAACAATTTAGACGTAGTAAGTATATACAAGCCACTCTCGTTTTTATCAAAACTCGAACCTCCTACAATCATCGAGCCCTAGATAGCTCCACAACATATATACACACACCCTCAACTATACTACACCCTCTCCTTGTGAATATTTAAGCTAATTTACAAGCACTGGGAGTAATAGGCGTTTCCGGCCTGGCATGTGCTGCCAGAATTGCAACAGGTAGCTCCGGTCCAGCCAATACCACCGCACTGTCCCCACTTAGGCGAGCAGTTTCCATTGTTGTTGTTAGCAGTGGTAGTTTGGACTGCGGTTGTTCCTGGGCGGGTGGCGGTGGTGGTGGGAGGGTTGGTGGACCCGTTCAACTTGCTCTTAACGAAGTTGAGAGCGGCGGTACCGTATTGGCTACCGTATCCTTGGTGGACGTTCTGGTCATTGCCAGTGCAGCAGTACGGGTCCCTGGAGTCGCAGTAGGACTGAACCTTGTCTGGAGATGGGCAGATGAACCCAGCTGGACGGGGTGCAAACTGTTTTTCATGGGGTTAGCCGAATTTTTCGGGGCGTGCGGGTACTTATTATTGTTGTGCTACTTACGCCTTTGGCTGTGCAGCTACCAACGTTGTATGGAGCTCCAGCTGTGAATCTTGGGTCACCCATGAGGATGACGGCCTTGATTTGGGTCAAGGCAGAAGCTTGGATTGGGATAGCAGTGTTGGATAGACCAATGTTGCTATCACCACCACCGCAGAAAGCATTTTCGGTGATTTGACCACCCTGTTTTCGTCACCAATTAGCATATCTCGATATTTCTCGAATATCAAACTCAAGGGCGCTGGATTGCATTGTCCTCATACCTGCGAGTATCCGACCAAAACAATCTGTGTCGATGGGCATCTGGTGTTGAAGGAGTTAACGGCAGAAGCGACAGCTTGGGTTCCTTGAAGAGCAGAGTTGGCATAGCTGACACCACCGCAGCTAGATTGGCCACCGCAAGCTGGGTAGCTAATAGCTTCGGATGTAGCACCGGGGAAGGCTTGAATGATGGCGTTGACAACGCTACCAGCGGAACCGTAACCGGGCGAAACAGTGGTCTCACGAGCTCCGAAAATGTGGATGCTGGGGCAGCTCTGACGGGGCTCGAGGACGTAAGCCGAAGCCTGCTGGCCGAGGAGAGCAAGGGTTGCTGCGGTGAAAAGCATTTTGATTGGATGCAGATGAGTTTTTATATATCTCAGATATTGAACAAAACTTTTCAGGTATGCTTCGCGTGGGTATCTTCGCAGTGGTGCTTTGATGCTTTGATGATCGAGATAGATCTTTTGGATGCGGCCGCTAAGGTCCTTTTTATATTTTGACTTTTCCCGTACGTTTCTGCCAACTAGGTAGGGATGACAAGGCCCTTTGATACCCGGCACTCCCTAGCCTTGACGAACCGTGATCCTCGGATCAAAGTCGCCTCTTTCTGCATCATTAAACTGGAAAATAACCCAGGGTATTTTGACGTATTCATCCAGCCAATCTATGCCTTCCTTTCCGCCGAGAGAAAGAAGCTTGCGAGCAAGCTTTCTCCCACGTGTGGTCATGTTTTAATTTTTATGTACGGATATTAGGAACTTTTTATCCCTTCCGCTCCAGCGCTATGCGTATATGTACAAGCGTGTGCAGAATACATCTGGTTCCATTTTAGCCGGTTCCGTTTCTGGACAGGTTATGGGATGAGTTCGCCGTGGATTGAAGTTTAAATGTATTATAAACTATAGAAACAGCCAGGCATGTTAGCCAAGCGAGAATGTCACAGCGAGTTGTCGACGCAGCTAGCCTTGGTTATATGATGCAAGAACTCTGAGAACAAGCGCAGTGCATGGAGGCTTCGGGTAAGATGTGCGAAATCTTTGCGTTGAGCGTGTGGGGAAATGGATGCTTAACCTGGGTGGACCCTGCAAGATTCAGATGAAAATACATGACCGGCCCGGATCCCACTGGAATTACTACTTGGATTGGTATAGATCGATGGGTATTGTCCATGTATCGGTAATTTTTGGACGACGAACCTGTGGTCTGAAACCGGGGCAATTTAGGCATAGTTAGGCTAAATGGATTGACATCTACATTACATCGTCGGGGCGCAGGACACATCAAGCTAGAGGACCCACCTAAAATAGAGCTTGAGTTTTTGTGAAACGCAGAAGTCCGAATCTGACCACCTGCCTTGTATATGTAACGTACTATGTACGGCTGTTCAGGAGCGGGACGCTGCGCGTCGTTTCCCTAACTTCGCTGTCTGGAAGCTGGGACAATAATTTTCGTTGATATACTTGGCGCACTTGGTTTCGAAGACGAAGCCCAGGTAAACGGGTGCCTATTAGGTCGCACTGTCTCTCGTTTTGCGGGCTTCGTATATCGGAACCATATTCTGAGATGTGGGTAACTCAACCATGGAAAGCCCGTTCCAGAACATTATTTCTCATATAACAAACTTTATAGGGAACACACATGAAGTGCGCTAGTGTTTGTTCTCACATGTTGGGGGTGGGCATAATCGGCTCGAGTTCGAGTAAACCGAAGCGCTATAATTATATTGATCATAGTTACGTTTGTATATCAAGTCTTGGAAGCTGACTTGCTCTAATTCCAAGAATTCGATTACCCAGGCATTAGATTGGATCAACCGCGCCGTTGCATTGGTAGTATGGAGATCGCGCGGATGGCCTTTTTGGCTAAATGCATCGGCCACGAGCGAGCCAGCTAGTTGCGCCAGGTATTTTCAGTCGTTCGAATTTCATCCGAATTGGTTAATTGGAACTCATCTCATAGAGCGAAAGTTGGAGATGGTTACGTACAACCTTGGCTTCCTATTCTGATCAGCCTGATATGTTAAGGCGGATTCAACATCTTGGCTTTGTATATTCCATTTTGTAACTACATATCATGTATTATAAAACATAATGTAAGCAAATTTACAACAAGTCACTAACAAAATTATCGTACTTGTATGCCTAATTCAAATGTGCATTCAAACCTTTTACCGGTGGGATCATGCCTATTTCTCGAGCTTTCTGAGTTTTCCTGACTTCTTTTGCTGACGAGCATGCTTCGCCGTAGGTCCGATCGATACTTAGAAGCATCCTTTGACTCTGGTTAATCTGGGGTAAAACTTCCCCAGCACTCTCCATTAAGAGCTGGAGCCTCTTCTCCTCTGAAATGTAGGCTTTGTTTGCCTTACGAGCGGTTAATGCTCCAAACTCTCGTTGCTCTGTCAAAGTTTCCAAACAATTCGAGATATCCGCCTTCAATTTTTGTAGACTTCTCGATAACAATCTCGTTTTCTCCACTAGTTCATCTGTCTTCCTGTTCACTGATTCTAGACCCGAAATCAAGGTATTTGCAGATGCAACCTCTTGATTCAAGTTAGAGATGCTCGATTGCAAAGTATCCACTTCTTCTTGTTGCTGCTCTTTCCTCCATTCTAGCGAGGCCTTCTGGGACTCTAGAACACGGCTCTCTGTTTCCAAGTTTCCTATTTGTCGTTCGATAGAAGCACATGTGCTCCTAAGCTGGTTGGCGCTGCTAGCACTACTCTGAGCCCCACTCGCAAAATTACTTGCACTTGTATCAAGGTCATATGCCTCGTAGGCATCCGCAATCGCAAAAACGATGCCGAGTCCAAGGCTTAAGACAGCCGTCCAGACCGCAGTTTTTCGGAGTCTGCGAGCCCTCTGTTATCAGAATATCGAGATCGATTTGTCAGTATATGCGCGCTTGCACTTGGCCAAATTCAAATTTAACATCAAGATCGATGTAGTTATAGAAAATATATTTGCTAACTCTCCATACCTCTGATGCGGCTGTCGCACGTTCTCGGTATTCTCGAGCTTGCTTTTCGTAACTCGCCTGTCGCTCCTCTGCACTTCTAGCGTCTCGCTGTTTTGACCATAGGCGAGATCGGGTAGAAGACAGCTCCGTCTGCTTCTTATCGAGTTGAATCGATGCCTTGCTCAACTCAACAGCCACCCGACGGGCTTCCTTGTGTTTTGCATTTAGCTCTGCCGTCGCTGTGGCTTTCTTATGCTCCACCCGAGTTACCGTCACTTTAATATTTTGTCTTATAGGTTGAAGACTCTCATTTTTAAAGTCTTCAATTCTTCTGTTATGAAGCATACTGAGGTTGAGGACTCGATCGCTTGAGGCGATAGATGCGTCCAGGCTTTGAATAACGACATTTAGTTGAGTCGCTAATTGTCTAGTAATCGATTTATCCGTTCGGAAGAGCAAAAGGTTTCTGCCTTTCTTCGATTCGGTTATCAGATGGACAGTATCAGTTGCGGCCCTTTGAAGGGCGGATTGGAGAATCCATAGCTCGGCATCGATCGCATCTTTTGACTCTGTCTCAAGAGAATCGAGATTGTTTGAGGCGCTATAGAGTCTACTCTTGAGCCTGGCGACTTCTGAATTTAGTGACATTGGCGTTTTGGTTTTCTAGCATATAAATTATCGTTTTTGTGTCGGACGAAGCTAGTTTACGAAGTATAGTTTATAATGAATAGATATTCCCGCCGTTTTCGATAGGACCCCACTTCTCATTTTACGTTATAATTACAAGATAATGGATAGGGCGGTATCGGTCAGCTCTGCAGTATACTGCTGTAAAGACGGGAACAGGTAATTCCATGGACTCCTACTTCTTTGGAACGGCTGCATAGGCTAGTCGATTTTCCCCACACTTCTTGTAAATTTCGCCGACGCGAAGCCGAAATCTTCGTGAAATCATTCAGCCTTAAACAAAATGACCGCCGAATACCTCAATCATACGGTATCAAGATATGTGACCAAATTAAAACAACAAATAAACCCTATCACACCGTACTTGCTTGGCCCAGCTTGCACGACTTCAAAACACGGCTGAGATGCATGATTCGTCGCTAGGCCTGCATGAGAAACATGATTCTTTGGCCAAACATTAGTATGGAGCTCCGCCAGACTAGCCAAATATATCCCGTCGCTATACTGTCGTGTAACCAGGCTGGACAAATTCCAACAGCCTTGAGGTAAATTACGCGAACTACGACGTCGCGATGTTGGAAAAAAGCCACAAATCCGTTTTTGGATGCAATGTTTGCAGTAAAATAGTCGTATCGTCTACCGATAAGAAATGGTATTCGGTCCACGGCCGTTCCGGAGGCTAGCGCACTGACGCGTACGGTCAAGGCCGTGAATCCTTTCGACGAGGCCGCGAGGATTCTCGAAGCTCAAATTTTTTTCTTTCATGAATGAAGCCTTTCATGAATTCAACCATTGTGAACGCAATTAATTCACAAATACAGGTGAGTTCCCACTGGATTCTACACTGGATTCTCATTTGCCTTATAAATTATAAATCGAACCATAGTAACCTTACAAGAAGTCTAATACCCAAGATTCCTTTCTTAATCCACTCCTATCATCAAAAAAGATCTTCGATCATACCATCCACAATGTCAGATGAATCTGGCTCGTCGAATCGCGAGTCCAAGCCCGCCCAAAATTCCAATTTAAACGGAGATCCTCACAACTCCATGATCCAAAATCTCTCCCCAAATTAATCCAAAAAATAGCCCAAGAAGCCTCAACAAACAACAGCTGGGCACCAGCTCTCCGAGCTGCTCCTGCCGCAGTATCGGTTATGGCAACATGTCTTGTTGCTTCAACTTCAAAGGTTGCAGGTGCTATTGAAGTCAACCCCACTAGTGTGATACCTAGTGGGGAAGAGATAAAACTTCCGTAGGTGGTTTAACGTGTTGCTTTTCGACGTCGATAAGCTTGTGCAACATTCCCGATTGGGGTGTCCAAAAGTTTCCTGTTTCGGACTTAAACCTCTCCCTCCAGTTAGCTAACTTGCCGTTGGTCCAATTATAGGCACAAGTACCTGAGCACCAATCTTCAATATTGCAGCGACCTCGGCAGAATCGCATTTTCCGAGGCACAGAACTCTATGCACCGCCTACGAGGGTATGCTGAGTATATGACCGATACAGATGGCTTGGTTAGTACCATTTCACTACCTGTATCCCCTTCTGCTTACCTTACATCCAGAACTCCAGGGTAGTTTATATTAATTAATATGGTGCAATTATTACAAACCAGATATCCAACATTCTCGAGATGCTTGAGGATGAAGACGCGGCCCGCTATAACCTTCGAATGGCTATGGAGGATCTCCAAGAAAATGCGGATCGTTGCAAAAAAGAAATAAATTCCATCAAGGGAAAATTCCAGATGCTGCTGGACTTCATCATGGCTCTTCAAAATACCGCGATGGAGAAGCAAAGTAGGTCATGGCCTTTTTCGATAAGCAGTAAGGGGGAAAGAAAGAAACGGATTATTAAAATACAAAATAGATGACACCCAAACTCGCCAAAAGCAGAACAACGACCACGTTCGCAGGAGAGACGAAGAGCGAAAAGCACATATCGCACACATTGAGTCTTGTCGAGAAGAAGTGAAGAAGCTGCAAGATGAATTATCGGCTGCACACGACGACTGGCGGAAATCAAAGGAGGGGGTGGACTTACTTGCCCTAGTTTCTTCATTGGATGTTGTTGTGAGGTTAGATGACGAAGTGATCTTTAAAGAACCTGAGGTAGAATATGAGGCTCCACAAGGTACGCATACATATACTTAGTCCGAATAGTTCGGTACGACAAATTAACATTAACATCGCACCGAAAAATAGAGAAAGTTGGCTATGCCGTAGGTTTCAAGCACAGCGTGTTCGGGAAGTCTGCATCAAGAAAAGCAAATGAAGAACGTGATCGTATGGAGGCCAAAGAAGATCACGAAAAACGACAGAAAAATGAAAGGGCTCGGTATGACGAAAAACTTGAGCAGTTGCTACAACAGCGGCAATATGAGCTAAACGTAGCCAAAGAGGAGGCTCAAGAGCGTTTGAAGACTGCTCAAACGACCCTCGAGATGGTACAAACGAATCTAGAGCGTGCAAAGACACAGCTCAGGGTTACGACAGAGCAACATCTACAAGCAAAATTAGATCTAGATGCTTCGCAGGCGGATCTTGAAGCTCTCAAAAATGAGAAGCTTGAGCTAGTAAGTGTCAATTTCCTGCTGAGCATCTGAGATATGAGTTATCAACCATCCGGCAAGAAATAGTAACTGACAACCCGATACAGCAAGACATTCTCGCCATCATAGAGTCCTCGATCAAGTCTCTAAAACAAATGAAACGGTACGTCGACGATATGTGTGGATTCTTCCAAGAGGTTTCCACAGAAGTTCAAAACACGATGGATGGTCCAATGCAAAAGTTTTTATCTAAGATCGAAAACGCTGCCGTCGCGTCAGGGAATAGCAAGGGTTCTCACAAGATTGAAAATTTGAATGTAGATCAAGTTAACAAGGGGCAATTAGTTCAAGCTGCTCTACGCCTTCAAGGTAAGTTGAGCATTATCGGCGATGTAGCTGGAGTATACGTCAGCATTAGCAAGCTATACATAAAACCGGGGATCAACAAGATGGAGGGTTTAACTTACCTCAGCCATTCGGAATATACCCTCCAGCTTGCTGAATTTAAAGAGTAGTGCTCCAACTCCGTGGAAGAAATAGAAGGCTTTTCACGCAAGGTAAGGCAGCAGTATCCTATAGAGATAGCTATTGCAGACACGCTAATCTTTGAATTATTGTAATAGCAAACAAGAATCATGATCGATAGGATGGCAGTTGGTGTACGAGCTGTGGCGCGTGAAACATTGGCCATTGAAAGCTCCACTTAATTGAGGCTTTCCTAAACCTTCATACATACAATGATTGTGATAGCGGGTATGTCGAGAGAGGAGCTTCTTCTTCTTCTTCTTCTTCTTCTTCTTCTTCTTCTTCTTCTTCTTCTTCTTCTTCTTCTTCTTCTTCTTCTTCTTCTTCTTCTTCTTCTTCTTCTTCTTCTTCTTCTTCTTTTTCGTTTCGAAATATAATTTGCCAGTCAAGAAGTGGATTTACCACGAGCAAAAGTCTGCACTCAAGTAGTGAATTTTGTCTATTCCAGAACCCTATGCTTTTGATAAGATTATACATGTAAATAGATGTAATCCTCGTGGAGTCACAATACATCAAGGATCGACCCTGGGATCAGTACTATTCCATCGACAACTAATCTACTGGCTCGCCTTTTCTTGCAGCAATGGCTTTCTGCAAATTCAAGTCTTTAGTTTGTTTGATCCATTCGTCATAAGTTCCACCCTTGATCTTCTCCTTGATCACTCCTTTCAAGAGCTCGTGGATAAATCCAACAAAGTTGTGACGCCTCAGTTCATTCTCAGTCTCCCAATCGTTCCGCTTTTGTTCTTCCCGGGCTAGCATTTCCTCGTCCCCAATCTCAACGGCCTTGACTCGAAGGTCTTGGACCACAGCCATCAAGTTGAAGCGAATCTCGCTCGGGGGGTAACGATCGATACGTCGATGGATGACCGGAATCACCTTGTCGCAGAATTCATCCTGGGTGCACGACCCATGCGCAATTGGTGCGGGTTGAAGACCGTCAATCTCATATAAAACACCATTGACAGGGGTGTAGGCAATGAAATGGTAGAGGTCGTCTTCTTCTGTAGCCTGTCGAGTGCCTTCGTCAACGAATGGGCTCGAACGGGAGAAAGAGTTATGAACATCGCGTATCAAATCTATGATAAATTGTTAGCTTCCTCGAAACAGCATGTCCCCCGACCCGTCGGCAACTCCGAGACGCGGGCTAAATATACCCCCTACCTGAATTAGATAATGTCTCTCCGCGAAGCTATGAGCATGGATTAGTAATATGTTCGGTTTTAATATTTAGAACTTGAGTTATAAAAGTACTTACATCGGACGGGAAACCATTGGTGAACTCTTTGAATTCCCGCAAAGAGTCGCCAATGTCAACTTGCTCCTTGTCAGCGTTGAGGAGGACGGACAGGATCGCCTGAGTAGCACAGGCGTTTTGGATGGTCTGATTGGCGAAAAACATGTGGTTTGGAGCATCCATGTCATGTCTACCATCCATAGGAGCCTCAGATCTATTCTTGCCCATCTGATATTTGAAAAGGAAGATTACTCCATAGACTGGCCTAAGCGTTTCAAAAGCACATCAAAATTAGCACCGCCTCAATCGCTTCATCTCATCATTCAAGAGAACCCTGCACCAAAACACAAAGCTCTAACAAGGGCGATATTCATGATGGGAATTCATACGATAATTGCTTGAGGTAATCGGCCTCCAATGCTATTAATTCTTCGAACTGCACGCCCTGGACCCCGAGGCTCTCGATCAAATATGTAAAAACACCCTAAAAAAGGACACACGGTACCAGACCCACTTGTCAGCCGAATTAAAATTATACCACATGGCTATATAACATCATTTTAAAATTTAAAAAGGGTGTAAGATCACAACCGATGAACCATCGGTGCATCAGAGCAGGATCACCACAATGCCCCTCGCCTCCAGAGTAATGAGACCAGTTCCCGACACCAATTACCAGTAGCCCTGGTAAAGGGAGCAGCTGTATCGCCTCCTGTAAGCTCCGTGCCATTTTGGCAAGTGTTTCTCCGATCAAAAATCTAGTTTAGGAGGAAAGGCGCAGTCGAACGACCCGAATCGACGGGACATACAGCAAGGAAGTGGGTTAACATACAGCATCGGATTCGATGGTGTGCCAACCGCCTGACTCAGCCATGTTGATAGTCTAGCTTTCAGTCTCTGCCGCCCAAGTGTTCCTGCGAGAGAATGACGGCTTAAATCTCGGCTGACTACACGTGAACTTTTAGAGGTCTCGATATAGAAGCCGGCGGTCCGTCGATCTAGGCTATACGCTGGCGGGCGGTTGATAGATGTCGCGTCGAAGGTTGTTCTGGGCTGCGTTGGTTTCTTGGCGCCCGGCGTTCGCTTTTAACGTTAAGCTTAAGCTTTCTGTGAGGTTTGTTCTCCAACATTCCAACCACGCCACAAAGACGACACGATAGCTCTAAACTACAATGAGAATGGCCTCTGACATTCCTTTCCTGCTTATTCGCCGGTCTATTTTTGCTTGTCATTATGTAATTGGCTACGCATATTTAGACCTCGCACGACACCCGTTTAGGGAAATCATCGATTGATCATGGAAGGCTATGTATCGACGGCATCGTCGAGCGCCTATTTCACCCAATTGTATTATTGCTTTTACAAAAAATTGCGATGGAACTGATTGCAGCATTTGGACGCATCGACGTAGTACTCCGGCAGACCTAATGCATATAGGTCATCATGCTGTAGTACGTAACTTGACAGATGTTATACGTATACACCTCGCCGGTGAGTGGAGAACATGCATTTTGATTTCAAAATCTCAAGCGAACAACCACCTCAAAAGTTTACCCGAAGACCGTTTGGACACCATTTTTAACTCCGCTCTTTCGATGATGACAAGGGTATAGAGCAGAGTAGTGCGAAAAGGAAGCATCACGGGACTCCACGTATGGCCATGGTGGTAGTGCTGGTGGGAATTCGTCCCAATCCACCTGAATCACCGTACCTGGGCCTTAATATCAAAATTCCCTGTATGCCGGGTGTCGGCGTCGGCCTGACCCATGGTGCCAAGTACAAGTACAAGTTGAACTTGTCAATTTAGAGCCCTTCGGCCTGGTGCAGACCGCTGTTCTCTAACTCTCTAGTATTTCGCGCCTGGTTTACTGTCCCCACAGTTGCAATAACCATACCCCAGACCTACGAGTGGAGATATATCAATAACAGTAGGGATGCGAGTTGTCGGCAAATAACCATATATGCCCCAAACCGGAGCCGCTTTCTAGGCAATAGATGTCGACCCCTCAGAAGAATAAGTCTTCCGATCTGCCTTAGCCATACAAAAAACGTGATCTTGCATCTAAACGACTAACAGTTGAGCCGGCTAATTGAAATCGCTCCGTATATACGGATTTTTGACCCGTTCTACAGAACGTCGGCGTGCGTGATTTCATCATGTGGGAAGTTTTCTGGCTGTAACGGACATGGAATCGCAAATGGGAAGAGGCTCGGAACATCGATGGCCTCGTGCCGGAAACCTTGAACTAGTGTTTTTCGACCGTTGTCCCAAGTGATCCTGGCCATATATTCCTCGAACATACGGGCATAGACCTCGATGCACGAACGCTTTGGGAAATATTAATAGCTGTCAATATCAGAGTCCGTTATGACCCATATGTACGGTCCACAAATGCGGCACGGATCTGAGGGTTGGGGAAAGGGGTTGCTGGTTGGTGGAACGTTAGCCGCCTTTTGTTGGTGGCTGCATACCTTATGCACCTTTCGAAGCTTCAAGTGTAGCTTGAGCTTGATAGCTGTCGAAATCGGACTTTTTTGGGAAATATTCACAGGCAATACACGCCGTACACCGACGGCAACTCGAATATGGCTTTCAGACCGCCTTGGTCACTTTTTCTCTATATTTAGCTGTAGTTTCCTGCAAGTTCGACTCCAGTTTTTGCCAGCTTTCAGCCTGCCATTTTCAGCCTTTCGCCCGATGCATTTCGCAGCGGAAGCGGGACGACTGATAATTCACTACATCTTTTGAAGCTAATTAAGTCCGCCTAAAAAAGTTCCCCACTTCTTCAATTTCAGTGTTCAGATATCCCAATGAAGATTTCTGCATGCTGCACATTTCGTTAGGTAGCCGAAGTACTGGTACCTACCGGTTTGGGAGCGTTTTCCAAAGCGCAAATTTGTCAGTTGGCCATGAAGCTTAATCAGAAATAAATAAAAAAAACCGAAGGAAAACCAGGATACGACCAGCTAGCTGGGTATATGACTTTCCTGAAGACAGAAAGTAAGTCACAATATTAGAGATTCCTTCTTATTTATTTAGCTAAGAAGGGTTCTCTGCTTACTGCTAGTGCCTGTCATTTCCAATTAATCGGATGAGATTAAGACAAATCATGAAACAAAATTTTAAACCGTGATTAGAATCTGAACCGTGTCAACAGCAGAAAGTTCCTGCGATCGTGATCGCACGCATGCGCATACATTTATGTACATTTAAGTACCCGTGCATCTATCAGTATAGGTTAGAATTATCTAGCCGCCTAGCGGTCAGATCTGTATTCGGGCTGTGATAAGAATCTACAAAACCGCAATGAAAAAGCGACAAGTATTGGCGGGCTTGCCTGCACGGTTGGTTCTGTGCCTCCCGTTCGCATATTGCACAGAGACATGTGATATATGGATTGCATCCATCAAAGAAATATCAGAATCAGTTCAGTAGAGAATATACAGTAATTCAACTTCTTGAGTAGAAATTTAATTGTCCGTGGTATATGAATAAGAGGTTCTAGGTCAACTAATTAAAAGTTGACATTCTACTGTGAAAAGAAGTTTTTCCGATAGTACAGGCGCTTTGGTAAATTTGCAGATAGAATTCCCAAGCGGAAGTACCATGATAACGCCAAATTACATGCAAAGGAAACCAAGAAGCCAGCTTACTCCAGTAAGGGGATAATCGCACGACAAAAGTTGTGTAAGGGGGAAACAGCCTCGGTAAGCAAAAGTGGTATAGTGAGATCTCGCAACAGAAACCATATCAAAAAAACAAATGGAGGGAAAGAGAGGGAAGCAAAAAAAAAAAAAAACGCCTGTTGCAGAATTTTGCCTTCATCCGCCAACCGTCAGCCATATGAAACCAGTTTCCCCCCAAAGAGCAACCGTAACGTCGACTGTCTACGTCGACAGCTGCATGTTACTGTTGAGGTAAGGCACAGACCGTCCAGCAGCTTACTGCGGTATGTCCGTGGCAAAGAGAATAATCTGAAACCAACACATAATTTGACAAAGAACACAAGCCCAATATTAATATCAATTCAATGTTCAACCAGCTTTTAGTTTTCCTCCTCTTCAAACTCAACAAAATGGGGTATGTGAAAAGCAAATAAAAATAATGTAAAAAAAAAAGAAAGAAAAAGGTAAAGAAAAGATAATACAATGTACAATGAAGGAACAAATAAGAAAAGCGATAAAGAAGGTTGGAGCCATTCTGGAAGGGAATGCTTGAGCCGCGGCCGTGTGGTATCCATATCTCGCTAGTCAAATTTGAAGACAATACCAGGTCTGACAGCACCTTCCTCTACGACAGTGCCATGGCAATGTCAACTTTGTATGTGTGGGGATTTCCGTGGAGAAATGTAACGCCCCTTAGGCATCAGGCTAATTGACCCTCATTGTGGAGCTGGTGAGTGGAACCTCAAGGATATGAGAGTTTTCGTCCCTGCTCTTGAGTAATCGGGAGATGTCTCAGACATCTAGCTTACCTCACAACAGTTGCAAGTTGAAAATGACGGGTTACAACCACATATATTCTGGTGAACTAGCAGAGCTTGCTGAATTCAAAATCATTGGTTGTTGATGTTGTTGTTGTACATTGCTGCAGAAGAACTCGTACTCGCCCTAATATTGTTTCTGAAGAGTTAGAATCCAGATCGATCTTAATATTCATTTCCAGCAAATGAAACGTAATAGGGGAGAAGTGGCTCACGAACGACGGGTCCATTTCACTGTGGCTCTTGGGTTGCATCCCCTGGCGAGTGGCGAATGGATACTGGTACTGCATGTTCTGATAAGGTGCCTGTACAGGAGTATGTGCTGGTGATGGCGTTGTATTGTAGTTGGGATACTGTTTGAATTGATCAAACGTCCTCGACTCGTCATAAGGCGACCACTGGGCAGCGGTTTCGTTCATAACAATTTCGAAGTCTATCTGAGCATCATATAATCTGCTAGCCTCAAGATCAAACTCGTCGATATGTTTAGGTACCCAGCCGTGTCGATTTCTATATCTGAGCACTTGGTCCATCGGGAACTGTAGACAATTTAGTTGCCGACCATAGTCCACGTTGTAGTCCGAAAGAAGCATCGATGGGTGCAACAGAGCTGCATGGTTTCTTTGGTATCTAATGTGACGGTGAATTTGTTCAATTGGTCCAAGGCATAACGCGCCAAAGTATGCCGAGTCGACGGCTGGGAACAATGGTTCAATCGCTAACAGCAGTCCGTAGAAGTTTGCTAGGAATACCATGACCATGGGGTCGGATTTCGCTCGTCGTAGGAATGACAAGGGCAGGAAAAAGAGCCATGATGCCAAAGGGTGGATCATTTGGTACTCGTGATCGTGATTTGACATTGGCAGCTGTGTCTCCAAATTATTGAGGAAAGAGAATAGCGTGCTGAGAGCCTGTTGCTCCACAGGTTTATTAACTGCTTCTATTTCTAGAAACTCGAGTGATGCTCGGGCATTTGCAACTATCTGTCGTTGCTCCGTTAGGCTTGGTCTTGTCGAAAATGTTTCTCCGGAATTTGCGTCTTCGAGGCTAGCAATGAACTCGCTGAACTCGCTTTCATGTTTCCAGGACTGCATCGATTGAATTATGATAGTAGTTCCTTCCATAAGCGTTTTCCAGGCGTTCCTAGGCAATCCAGAAATTAGAGCTTATTTTTTTTAAAAAAAAAAAAAAAAATTACGAGAATATCGTTATTACCAATCTGAGGCTTGCCATGAAAGCAGTACAGATGCGGCAAGGCAGGCATCTGCGTTTGATCTAGAGAATCTGCTCAGCTCATCCTGTAAACCCTTCATTGCTATTCCTCCATGCTGGAATGAAACCTGTCGGCTCTCTGTAGTGCTAGAGACCGAGGCCAGGTGGGCTGCGGACAAGGATAAAATCGCTTCCATGACGAACTCGTGACGAACAGCAAGTCTCAAAAACTTGAGACTATAATAACGAACCAAATATTAGCAGATATTCGGGGAGCAGGTTTTAATGTAATCGAGAAGAATAATCTTACAGCGGTATTTCGCGCGCCCAAACTCTATACAGAACAGGGTCTGCCATCTGCATATGGGAGGCTATTCGGGAAATATCATGAAGGAGCCGCATGTCTTGCGATGATCTCGGCCTCATTGTTGGAGCATCATACGGTGAAAGGTGAGTTGTGCTTCGTAGCATTGGAACTTGGGATCGTCTCCATAGATCTTGCGACATGTATTCAGGAGAGACAGGTGTAGATGGTGGTAATGAATTACTATCGTCTGATGGTGGCGGCGCATCCATATAATCACAACGGACATTATGCTTGGTGCAGTTTCGGCTAACAGTAAAAGGCTAAATTAGCAAGAACGATCGAGGAAGAGCCTCATCTTCGAAGCAAATCGTTGGAACGAGCATGTTAATACCATTGTGGAAAAGTTTCATCACATCGAATATGTCTTCGTTTGCAGGTTTTGCAGCCCTTACGCGATTTCGTGTGGCTCTTTCGAGAAGGGTTTTGTCCGCCCATATTTGCAAGACTTGTAGGGCGAACCCGTGTCGTAGATATCAAAAATTATGGAAAAGCCGTATAGCTGTGGGGTGAATTTTCGTATGGTGCAAGTGGGTATCGGTTTGGAATAGAGGTCAGATAAATGCTGTTTAACCAAATGACGTTTGGCAGATAAAATTGATAGAAATCAATGAACAAATAAGATCAAAGGTGGAGGAGGCCTCTATCAAATAAGGGTGTATGCAATCGAGGGCCTGTCAAGTATTTAAAGAGAGTGTAAGATGTCAGGTAAGGTGAGACCTGTGGGTCCAAGCTTGGAGTTGCGATGTGCGAAAGTCGAGTAGTTATATAAAATTTTCCGTGGCCTTCTAGCTCTCAAGCCTACCGAACGGCAAGTGGCGAAGCTATATGCTTCTCCTTTCCTTCGATAGTAGTAACTTCTTATTTGGTAGTCATACTCGAGCTATCCTGTCAGTTCTATTCCGCAGTACATATAAGGTAGAGTCTGAGGGGAAGGGCCAAGGGGGTGAAAGACAGAGGGCCGTCTGTGTCGAGGATGTATGCATGTGGGGGACAATGCCGTTGCATCATCTGTAATGTCAAAATAATGTACTGTACTCCAGCAGAACTACGCCGCCGGTTACTACTTCTCTCTGGATAGATCATGTTTAATATAGGGTGTGTGAAGTTGCTTTTTAGAAACGGTTCTTTTTCGTGAAGTGAACATACTTTCGACGGAACCCCAAGATCTCCACTTGGGACAGCGGACAGTGCTGCAGTTCCACTTCTAGCATATGGCACCAAGGGCCTCTGCAATGTGGCCAGAGGCTTGTCAATGTCAGAACTGGGAAGGAAAAAAAATAAATACTATCACTGATCTCTTTTGACCCCAGCACACGCAAGATTGAGAACCGTTTTCTTGGAGAAACATTTCTGGTCCTGCAGGCACTAATGTTAACCACACACCACATCAACCAGCATATATGTGTGGCCTGCTGCTTGCGCATGGGTGGGACGCCTGCATGGTTTGTCAAGGACAGGGGCCCTGCACCAAATCATAGGGCGGCGGTGCACACTGTTCCGCTCCAAAGCATGTTTTTTTCTGGATTGACGGTTGTTTATAGGTTTGGAGGCCTAACACCAATATTTCAGGGCCATGGGCAGAGATGTTAAGGGTAAAGTTCGAGAGGGCGGGTTTTCAACGAACAGGGCAAAAAAAGCATGACTTTGCCGCGGAGGCTCTAATACCAGGTCGCAACTCTGACAAAAAGACGGAGGTTCCGGCCTGCCCTGGAGCGCGATTTCTATCCATTTTCAATGACACGATTACTATCTTTGTCAGGCAAGTTTTGTAATTGTTACGCCCAAAATTTTAAGATCTCACTTATCGCAAATACCTCCGGATGAGGAATTCCCTGGCTGGTCAGGGAGGCCATCTCTAGCTCAAACCGGATGACATTTTGGAGGCGCAATTCCGGGAAGCTGACCTGATCGAACGCCTCCTGGGGGCATATTTGTTAGCAAAGCCTGGGGGTTGATCTCAGGGATCCTGCATGCTGTAAATCGACGACGCATCGACTCATTCCACCAGGGATTGGCTGGTATTTTGAAGATGCAACGCTGGGTGGGATCTCATCGGGAAGGTCTTCTTCGAGCCTGAATTCACGAGGCCAGATCCAGGCCAAACTGCGAGTGTAGAGCAAGCGCACTGATTCAGGTATCTGCTCCGTATGACGACGTTTTGCGTACCGATAACCATAAAAAGCATGCAAACGACGCGTCAACCTCCTAGATTGCTTTCGCAAGCGACGGGGTAGGCCGAGGAAGGGCCGATAAATGTTGAAGCATTCTATCAAATGGCCCTAGATCAAAACTCAATGTTGGAGCTTTGTATGTATTGCTGCCAATTCAATGCATGCGCATGCTGTAAGCTGTGCCGATAGATCGCTTCGGATGAGCCTCCATAATACCCACCAGCAACCCCTGCTCACCGGGAACAATTTGCGGTCAGATCATCTAGGGTTCCAGAACAAGCAAGCGTGGAAGGTGCCCGGGAAAGGCTTGGCTGGTCCTTCCCGAGAGGCTGAGGCTCTGATGATACAACACCAGAAATAGAACCTCGATGTTGATACAGATGCATTTCCCCAGACGGTCGTAGACCATGTTTTCAATTTGGTAATTTGAGGCTCCAGGAATTCACGATGTAGATTCCGAATCACTCGACTCGAAACGGCAAGTCGGGACAAATTGATGAATCTTCCAAATCTTCCCAAAACCTCGCCTAAACCCGATTCCCCTGTTAATTATCATAGTGACTATCATGAAGCCCATATGTCATGGGGGAGGGAAACTTACTCAATGTGTCAATGGATCACGGGGATTATACCCGGATTGGCGATGGTCCCGGAATCTGTCAACGATCAATTGACCAGACCTACTTCTGGCTAGACTTTGACTTGGGTGCTACGAATATGCATAGCCTGCGCTTGAGGCATCGGGCTCTTCTTCTACCTTCGAATTAGCCATCTGTTCTGAAGCACAATCAAGCGCGCATTCGAAGATGCACTTTTGGGTTTGAGGCTTTGGAATTGCCGTGCCTGTGCGACATCGATCTCCATGGCCATAGCCATGTGCCAGATTGAAGCAATGTTCGCAGCAATCCTCCTCCTCAAAATTACGTTTGGAAATACGAGCAGTAGAAGGCAAAGTGGTCAAGGCTCTTGGTATATCATACAAACTAGAACAAAGGAATCGGATCTGTGACTTCGAATGCTTGAAATAGCATGAAAGACGACCGTGTATGTTAAGTAAAGTTATAATTAAGTGGCTGCGTAATACTATTCCTTGTTTAACCTGAGAATTGCTGCACAAGCACAGCAACACAAGCTGGCAGCTGGCAGCTGCCGATTTATTAGTATACCATACCAGTCAGATCTCGATGACCAGTCCTATACGCATACCACCATACAGATGACTAACTAATCTCCGTATCTGAGCCTCAGGGCCCGTCCCACTATCGTCGGAACCAGCAGTCGCGAAGACAATGGCGTAATCTATCCCCCACGCAGGTTTGTGTCTTGTCGGAGTGTCGGACATTTGCATTCGAAACAACGATACAAACTACATGCAACAAGCATTGCATTCAACTCGTATTCTAGTTTACCCATCCAAACACGTAGTCGGATCGGTCAATGTCAATGTCTATGGCACCGAGCTCGAAGGATGACGACTGTGACTCCAATCAACAACATAATACAAGCGATGGTATGCATATGCAGATATATGTTTGCCTGTTTTGGGCTCAGGGCTCTCCTAAGATCTATCCTGGGATCTCACCGACTAATTAGATACTTTTCGCGATAGGTACATTACATACATTGCACACCGGAGCATATCCTTGAACTTGAAAGACATCTGCAAAACAAGGGTATGGTATTCGTATACAAATGTCCTCAATCTTAGTAACAAATCGAGTTTGGGCCTTCATACGTAAGTATGTACATACGTATTTACATACATACTTACATGTCACTTCCTGATGTTTTCCGCGATAAGCTGGGGATGTAAATGATTTCTTAAACTGGTCTATACTATGCAGTCTGCTAATTTTAACATCAAGAAATCAGTATCTGACAACTCAACCCGCCTTTCAAATGTTTGTTGGGTCGACCCTGGCAATCGAACCGGGATTCGAGTCGCAATTGCTGGTGGTTCTGTGAAGACAATCTCACCGGTCCAACGTTTTCTGCTGAGGACTTTCTAAACTCGACGGGCACGCAGGGCCTTATCGTACTGATGCAGGTGCAAGAATTGGAATAATTCTCGGGTATACGATGTTCTGTAGTAAGATACCATGATCAGTACATCTGGATTTCTCGTCATCGATCGAAAACTCAGTTCCCAACATGAGCCTAAGGCCTAGCTAACCTAGAGAAAGTTAGCAGTGGGGTATTTGAACGTATGATATCGTGTATCAAGGCGGCCATACCCGTGCGCTGTCTTTCTTCCCGGACCTTAGCGGCATCTATGCCAGGACGTTTCCCCATGTCATGTGAAGAAAAGAATCTATTTAAGTACTTCATGACTGGACTAACATTTGCAGAGCGAAAAGCATGTGCCATCATAAGGACAATAAAAAAATTTCCGAATATCGCGTTGCACAGTACACATACTATTGTATATGTTGTGATACAGCAAAATCTTGCAAGCGACTGTGTAGCCCGCCTGAAGAAGTTTTCTGAACAGAATCCAACCTCATATCTGCAGAAAATATGCACTGCACTGGCTTACTATTCAAAGTTACGCACGTGCGTGGGCTGCAGACGAGCTTGAAAGTGGGACTTTGCAATCATCAGGGACAGCTGCCAAACCTCTTTGGACTGACAGCGAATTCGAACCGGCCCCTCAGGTGGGGCAGCCACAATCCTCACCTGATTTTCAGCTCTGAAGAAAACTATCACCAATTTTTCCGGTTCAACGGTTCCTGCCTAAAAATTGTCTGAATCTTAGTTAATACTCCTTTGACGCCCGGCTTTATTAGTGCAGGTTAGTTGATAAGTCAAGCGAATCGGGATGTCACCCTCACCCGTCTGGCTGCTTCTTCCTCCCTTGGTTGAAAGCTGGAAAACTAATGCAACCAAGTACCGGCTCAAGACGTAATTGGACGAAGACCTCGTATTCGTCTGTTATTTCCCACATTGCAAGTTCTGAAGAGATTGATCGCAAAACAAAACAAAAAAAAGAGCTATCCAAATGCCCAGTTCATGAGGATAAACGAGAAGAAATAACTCAACGAAAGAAAAGGGAACCGACCGGATCGGTTTTCTATCCGGCGTTCTCCCGTGTCAGTGGGAACTCGGAGTTTGTGTTGGAGGTGAAGTTCAAAAGTTGGTGGCTAGTATCCAACTGACGCAAGCTCCCCCCAAATTCACCGAATGGCTAGTAGCGGTCGTCTCCATGAGAGGGGTAAATACAACGATATCGAGCTAGAATTTTATGGCAGTTGATTACCAGGCTCA